GATATGGATTTTGAGCCTCAATTTTGACTTTTGATGATCACTGATTATCGAAATACTAGGATTTGTCTTTGTTTGTGCGCTTGAGTACTACCAGGGGACAGTAATTTTATGCAAGACATTTACAACCCGCTTTCGAAATGCACGCATTTACAGTACCACTTTAAATGCGTTTATTCAGGTCGCTTTCGCTGTCCCCTAAACAAATATTTTTACTTTTACCCCACAGGCGTTACCAGTTTTCTTTCTTGTATGCATTTATCTATTACATTTGAAAATTTTGATTGCTTTTATGCACAAGAATTTTTAATGCATTTTAAGTGAATTTTCTATTTTTTTTATATTTCACAAAAAAGTTTTGGATTTTATTTTTTAAGTGAAATTTTTGTATTTTTGAACTCTTATTTTTCTGCACTTTATTATGCACACACAGGCTTTTACTAAATTCCTTGAGCTAATGCCAAACTACAGTATAATCGGCGGGTATCCCATGTTAATGATGTCACTGGAATGTTGTCACATGCCGGGCTTATTCGTGCCCGGCCTTTCGAGCCGGAACTGCATGCATACATGAAGCAGGTAAAAATAAGTACTTGCTGAAGTTAATAAGTGAAAAAATTGTCGTTCAATATTGATAATTATCGCTAGACTGCATTTCGGGTTTGTCTTCACTGGTTCTTGTCAAATCCAATTCATCCATTGTTGCGGATTTGAGTGGCAACAACAGATCTTTCCACTCCGAGCAGGTTTTCTCCAATTCTTATGGTTCCTGTTGCTCACAGTCAGCCAAAATTTTACAGCAAAACATTAATGCTTGGAGGTTTTCGACCTGCCGTTGGATTGCTTTCATCCGGGAAGCGGGCAACTCCATTTTCCGAGGGTTTCATCTTCAGTTTTTATTTTTCAATCAAAACTTCCCGGCGGATGGCCTCGGAAAGAATCTCGTAAAACTCTTACGGTATACGGTTCAGAATCGAAGAATTTGATATAGCTGTGCTCGGCGCTATTAGAAGTGCCCCAGAATAACATTATTGGCAAAGGAATCCAGCGAATATTAGGGTTGTTGTTGATATTGTAAATAACCGAAAATTAACAAATTGTTAGCCTTCAGTTATTAGTCAAAAAAAATTTTTTTTCTGCATATGCAATGTGCACACTTGAAATTCAGCAATATTTTTTGCGCGGTAAATTCAACTGCACTTGCTACCACATTTCATCGGCGAAATGATCTAAGTAAAAAAAGTAACAAAAAAATGTAATTGCACATTAGCTTCCGAAAATTTTTTTCTTACATACACAAACAAGTGTCTTAAGTTCGACTGCACTTTTTTGAGCGATAAATGCAGTTGCACTTTCTGCTGTTGCTCTGCATAATATGTAGAGAGAACAACAAATTGCTGCTATAAAATCCTTTGTTTTTTTTTTTTTTTTTTTCGTTTCTGCATATTCCGAGTTTTGTTGCTTCAGCCTCACCCCTTACTTATCTTGCGATTTCCCTCTCTCTCTCTTTCCTGCTTCCACATATGCCCGGCTTGATCGGTAATTTTTATGCGTTTTGTGCTGTGTAACAGCAGTACAAAACGCATATTGTTACGGGGT